CAAGGCATACTCCTCTAGCCTTAAAGAAGGTCAATGGCAAACCTCTTTTGAATAATTTTTGCCAATAAAACCCTATGACAGGGTCACCATAGGTCAGAATTGACTTGAAGACACATAAGAGCAACAGCAGTCTTCTAATAGTATAGATCAGTGCTAACATGTTACACCGGAGTTCCCAAATATCCACCAACTCCTTAGTGTTTTCCAGACACAATTCAAGTTGTTATCAATGCAGGTGGTGTGGGATAAGATAATACTTACATTTGCTCCTGCTTCAAGAAGGAGTCTAGCACATCCTACATGATCTCCTAGGCATGCTTCATGCAGTGGAGTCACTTGATCAATGGTCAGAGCATCTACATTATATCCCTAAATGCAACAGAAGAAATAAATAGATGTTCCTTACAGCTATTCAGCTTCTTAGTTGAAAGTCTACTTTTCCTAACAATTACAAAACAAACATTTTTATGCAATATATATGTAACAAGCATGTATGTCATTTGAAATCACGCTACTGAATAACAGTAGTTCACAGGAGTGAACATTAGTCTGATTTTTAAGCCCCATTTTAAACTACTGTAGGCTCCTGTCTTTAACATCATTTTTTTACACCAAGAGAAGATGTAGAGAAAAGACAAAATCTCAGGGTATTGAAAAATATTATTTTATTCTTGCAATTAGTCCAACACATTTCAGCCCTGTAATATTTAATGACCTTCTTCAGAGGCTTCTTCAGACCCTGAAGAAGGCAATTAAATATTAGTAAGCTGAAACACATTGGGCTAATTGGAAGAATAAAACCATCTTTTTCAACATCCTGAGAATTTGTTCTATTGGATGTTACCAGACCTCTTTGCTTTTTGCACCAGGAGAGCTACACTTATAATGGTAGCTGCTGGATCCATGTCAGCATCCACAGTAAGTCCCTCTGGGTTTTATTCTTGCCTTTAAAAGAATAAAGGAGTTGTCCATAGTGCTGAACCCTATTTCCCAAATAAGTCCAGTCTTTTGGATTATTCTTTTAAAGTGTTGAATAAAGCCGAGAATAGAGTTACCATACCATTGATATGGAAGCCATTGGCTGCCACTGCCTTCTTTGAGTAAATTCTTTACAGTAAAGCAAAATAGGGGTCTTTTTCTCCATGTCATACCTTTGGCTATATTTGGAACTGTGAGAACACCTGCTAAAATGTACTCAAAATGAGATATAACCTTTGGAAAGAGCAGTATTTAAGCTTTAGGACTCTCAATATAGGCCTTGAGAACAAGATTCAAATTAGTGGAAAATGTTAACAAGCTGGGAACTTTCTTGTGATGGGATTTTTTTGGAGTCTAGGCAGGATGCTTTCCATTTTGTAAAACATTCTATATTATGCCACTTAGAACATTGATTTCTACCATTTATCAGTGGAGTATTACAAAACAACAGAGTGATTCTGTGAATTGTAGTACACTTTGTTTCTTTAATGTATGGTTTTATCAGATGTTTTCCAATAATATTTATATATTTTTTTACTTTAACAATAAAAACATGGTTTAGATTCTCAGCTACCCAAACTGTAATAAATGCAGTGAAAGTTTTTAGACCTATGACAACCCCCATAATTTAAGTCTCCCCCAAACCAAAACTGAACAAGGGTTTTTATAAATGTTTCCAATTTGTTTGGATTGTTTGTTTGTTAAGAAATGATGCTATATAAATTGTTTGTTAATCTTTATTAACATGTATTGATCTTTATAAACATTAATATTTTGGTGTGGCCAAAAATATTTTCAGATAATACAATTTGCTTTTCTAAATAGCTGAAAAACATTCTAAGAAACATTTTCAAAAGAGTGCTGTATGAAGTTATTATACCAAAGAAGCCTGAAGAAATGATGAATAAAAATGATGCCAGAATGTCATGTAACATTGGATACAAGTGAAAGATGGGATGGAGGAACCATGCTTAAAGTAGGTTATATTTTTTTTACCTGTGCAATTAAAGTTTTTAGAGAAAGGAGGCGTCCTTGACTTGCTGCTTCATGCAATGGTGAACGATCTGCCCAAGAACCTATGGAACAATGCAACCATATAGTTTAAACTATATGAACATTTTTGCATTAATATAAAATAATTGATGGGAAAAGTACATATAAAGATAATAAAGATTTTAAAAAATCATCCCCTGTACACTAAATTATTTTGTAAAGATGACAATGTCTGGAGTTTTCTAGCAATTTTTAAGGCAGGGGTGTGCAATCCCCCAGGCTGTTTTTGTGGCCCATGCTTTCCTTGAGGGCTGCATCTGCACTACAGAATTAGTGCAGGTTAATTCAGGGATTTGTAGTTTTGTGAGATATTTAGCCTTCTCTGGTAGGGTGCTCTAAAGCTACAACAAACTACAAATCCCAGGATTCTGTAGGATGGAGCCATGACAGTTAAAACACTGGCAAACTGTGTTAATTTATAATAACCTCGAAGATTAGTGACTGCTGTTTATAACCATTTTGATGCATCCTCGTTGCAGAGAATCTAGTACTCACTTCTGCCAATTTGTTTTGCTGCCAACTGTATTGGGAAAGGATACCAAGCATATAAAGTACCTGATTAACATTTTTGAGTACTCTGAACTGATACTGAAATTACAGATTTTATTGAAATCAGGACATGCTCATCAATGATGGCAAGGCCATTTTACCTCCTGCAAATCTTGTTCATCTTTATCTATGCTGCCTATTCCTCTGATACCTATTCATCTGTTCACTTTTACAGCTTTAAAAATACCTGCAAATATTATTGCAATGGCACAGCATTTGGTTCTCTCCTGGTGCCCAAACAATTCAAGCCTTGCATTAAACCTCTTTCCACATCAATGTATATACTCTTAAATTGTATAGATGAAATTTCACTTGGCCTTTGGGTCTTAAAATTAGGAGTCTCTGGCTGTTTTAAGCATTGTCTTTTTTAATTGCTTATGGTTTTAGAACAACTTTTAAAGAGGTGCTTCTGTATTTACTGGTTTAAATATTTTTATCCCTTGCGAGTCCTGATGGGCTGAAAGACAATAAGTAAATGCCTAAAATAAAATAAAATACTTCCATACACAATGACTGAGTTGAGAGGAAAGTCAGTGACCCTTTAGTCTAAAGGCAGGCAACTGTTGTTAGACTACAACTCCTCCAGGTGTTGTTAGTGCAATTCCTGCCAGCCTTGCCAATGGTGGCAGATGTTGTCAGTTGCAGTGCAACATCTGGTGTTTCACAGTTTCCCAATGTCTGATCTAGTCTAAACATCTGCACAAAGCAGACTCTACAGTGCAGCATCCCTGACAAAATATGTGTACCAGCTGGGAAACACCCACCACAACCCTAGTAAAATTTAACTTCTAGTGACTGCGAAAAAGTACTGGAAACATAAATAGCTCTTTTCAGTATAATAATAGAGGTCATTCCACAATGCAAAGAAAGTGGGGTTGTGATTTCTCAGGGACAAGTAACTAGCAATAACCAGGGACAGTTGCCATGTATGATGGTGGAACTCAGCAGTTTCTATTACAGGTACTGAATGATTGTTCATTGTTGGCAGAGTTGTAGTATTAGTACTGTACTCTGGTTATATTAAATTTTGTAAAATCCGTGCACTTTTGCAAGGGGGTTATTATGTTCTTGCAGAGGCATATGGAAGCTTTTCCAGTAATTGTAATGGAAATGAAACTAGATTCCAAACCATCCTGGCTCTGTTAAATAACATTTTAAAAGTGTTTGAAAAAAATATACCCGCTATTCAAAAACATCAATCTATCTTCCCTTGTAATTCTTTTCTCTTTGACTGAAATGGAAAGTGCAACTGACTATATTTAGACACTGCATTCATTCCAGGCCATCTGGTAGCTAGCGTACTAGGAACAGAGCCTGCAGCTCTGTCAATACGGCACAGAAAAGCTTAAAACACAACAATAAGCAGGCAAGAACAAGGAATAATTTAAAAATCACATACAGTACCTAAATCTCCATCTCCCCATGGCATTTCCAGCCAATCGCAGTTATAAATCCTGCTCATTTTAATTTTTTAAAAAACAAAACCTGTCCCCTTTAACTGATGCCTGTGAATAGACTTCAGCCATTTTTAGAAAGAGCTCTGTACTCATTATAATATGAACTATCACCTCCACGTTTTCTGCAGTAAACAGAAGCCTTGACTTTAGGTGCTTAGCAGGAATACTAGAAGCAATAATGCATAGTTTAATAAATAATTAGAATTTTAAAATAAACAATAAACAGGCATTTGGGCAGAGCTACGGATTAAGATCAGTCATTTCCTGTACATTTGTTGTATGGTTTGGGGGAAGATTCTTAACCTCAGTTTCTCATTTGTACAACAGGATGAATTACCTGCCTTTAAAGATTTTTGGGAGTGAGCAAATGGAATAAACAGCACAGATCCTTTTTGCAGGTCAAAAGTGTAATAAAAATTATTACAGGGTCATACCATGAAAGCATAGGGTGATTCTTTTTGAAAATAACAAAATGCAATTAAGATAAAGAGCAGTATTCATTTTCCAAACATTCTGAACATGGTTATGGTAACAAGATCAATTGTCTTTCTCAGTCTGCATCTGCACTGCAGAAATAATCCAGTTTGACCCTACTTTAACTGTCATGACTCAATGCTATAGAATTCTGGGAATTTTAGTTTATTGTAGCACTAGAGCGTCTTATAGAGAAGGTTAAATGTCTCACAAAACGGATGCAGCCTCAATGTCTTTATGTTTACATGCTATACTTTATTTTTAATGTTCAACAGGGCAACCCATGTAACCTTTGGGTATTGTCATCTTAACCATGAAACACAGGGCCAGCTTCCACAAAAATTAGAGAAAAAAACTGGCTGGGTGGAACTCCGACTTTGATTGGAGCAATGGAACAAAAAGGTTTAAACCTCCAATACACATTCCTCAAATCCATGTCTCACATCAAATATTGGCCATACATATTGAGTGGTATCATGCAGTGTATGAGCCAGTGTAGTGTAATGGGTTGAATGCTGGACTTGGGCTCCTGGAGACCAGGGTTCTAATCCCCACTCAGCCATGGAAACCCACTGGGTGATCTTGGGCAAGTTACACTCTCTCAGCCTTAGAGGAAGGCAATGACAAACCCACTCTGAACAAACCTTGTTGGAAAAACCCTGTTATAGTTTTGCCTTAAGGATTCCATAAGTTGAAAGTATGATGAAAGCACACAATAACTATAAACAACACAACTCACATAGCTTGCCTGTAGAACTGTGAACTCTCCTACAGACAATCCATGAACTCACACAAAAGCAGTCCTTTTAAAATCAATACTTAATCAACTTTTCATCTATACCTAATCTAATTTCCTCCAAAGATCCACAGGAAATGTAACAAAATGGAATTACTATACACAACAACCCCTATTTAAATTGATTTTAGTGAACTTTCTGAATTATTCTTCCTAATTTCACCAGATATATTAATTCCATCTATTCTGTGAAGTATTGCAAAATTATGATTAAAATTTAGTGGGCATAATCAGTGGTGTCACTAGGGTTGGCTTCACCCAGTACAATAATTTATAGTGTCAGCCCTGCCCATTGACTTTCTCCCATACTACACCACACAGAATCCTTAGTGATGTTTTTGGTATTAATGTTATTCATAAATTGTAATTCCCATAAATCACTGAATGCAATGGCAATAAAACAAGAAGCAAAATTTAAAATATATCTTTAAATTACAACATCATAAGCACAACCTACATGTATTTACATTTAATGATAATAATAATATTTGCATAGTTTCATGTAGTAAAAGTGAAAATTTGATAAGATTAATGTTTTTAAAGAAAATTTTAAAAGAGTAATTTTAAAAAATGAGGCTTCTCCTTTCTCCTTTCTCTGCCCCTTCTTTACCACTGAGCTCCAGGGTTTTAAAAGGATGCAGGTGAACATCACAGTCCATTTCTGTCAAAAAGCAAACATTTGAGGAGCAGTGGTGTCACACCCTTCCTTAGGGTGTCACCCAGTGTGGCTCACATCTCCTGCACCCCGCAGTGATGCTCCTGGGTATAATATGGCCCAAGGATGGGCCATGTTTGGCTGATGTGTTTAGGGTGCCCATAGACCGCATGTGAAACCCTCTGGCCCCTTCACACACACACCAAAAAAAACCCTGTCCATCTGGAATCCTGGGTGCAATGTACTATTTGAACTCTATCCCAATGTATTCTGTTTCATGCCTGAAATAGGTTTTCTTTCACAGTCAGCCTCCATATCCATGGATTTAACCATCCATGGCTTGATAATTATTACCAAAAACATTTCCCTCCAAAAAAGCAAATCTTGATTATGCCATTTTATATAAGAGACACCATTTTACATTGTATTGTATATAATGGGACCTGAGCATTCATGGATTTCAGTATCCACAGGATTTCGGTACCCTGGAACTATAAAACAAAGTTTTGGGGTGCATTTGTACTGTAGAAATAATGCAGTTTGCATTTTAACTACCATGGCTCTATCCTACAGAATCCTGAGAATTTGTAATTTTGTGAGGCACCAGCAAATTTAAAGTGGTGTCAAACTAAATTCTACAGTGTAGATCAGGAGTAGGCAACCTTTTGGAGCCGGGAGCCGGGTTGCTATCCCTCAGACAACTGGGGGGGCCAAAGCACCAAAAATAAATAAATAAATAAATAAATAAATAAATAAATATAAAAATAAAAAATTAAAAAAATTAAAAAAATTAAAAAATATGCATGCACACTCTCTCAGCCCCAGAAAAGCCATGGCAAAACCCCTGTGGAGCTTTTGCCAAGAAAACCCCAAGAACAAGTAATAACAACAATAATCAATATCATCATGGCAGGCGGCGGCAGTGGCGGGGGAGGCCACGGTGGCAGGACCAGCCTGGGGCCGGTCCAAAGGCCTCGGGGGGGGGCACATCTAGCCCCCGGGCCTTAGGTTGCCTACCCATGGTGTAGATGCACACCCTTTCTCTGTTTATTTGAACATTTATTATTGTATTACATGAAAATGGTTGGATAAATTTTCACCAAATTTGGAACATCTGTTCGAAATCTAGATATGGAGCCTTCACACATGCCATTGTTGTTGCTGTTGTTTTAAAGGAGAATCTCAGCACTAGAATTCTATTACATGGAAAGCATAGAAACAAGTCTAACAAATGAATAGTACGTAGTTTTTATGATCCAGAAATAATTGGATGACCAGATGGAGATCTGTATTAACAGGTTTGGGGTAAGATATCAATGACAGTACACTGGATTGTTAATTTTCATGTTGTAACCAAGTATAATTTGTATGATTCACAGTGCTTCTGAAGCCAGAAAAACAGATTCTATATCAATTTTTTCTTTCTGAAGTGTTTACATTTCACCATCCTTTAAAGGTCCCCTGCCGTGTTTACCTCCACTTGTATTTTTGCATAAAAGGTTGCTCCTCCCCTTCTACTCTGTAAACAATCCTTGGTCCTTAGTAATGTTGGCATTTGCTTTGCTTTATATATAACGTAGCTTCAACATTTGCAATAGCAGAATTCATTTGAGGGTTTACATATAACATGGCTTCAACATTTACAAAAGCAGAAGTCATTTGAGGATGGTTTTATATTTAGGCAGAACTAGAAACATGTGCATGCACACACACACTTCACATGTAACATAACGCTGTAGATGAATATTTACACTTAAAGGTTCAATTTTTAAAAAATCAGCAGACATCATTTAAATGGGTGCTGTAAAACTGGCTACATTAGCAAATTCCAGTGCCCTGTCAGTCAGCTAAATGATTGCTTTACTAACCTTGGCTGGTGAGAATACCCCAGCTAGCTTTTCGTTTCGGAGGACATTCCCCTATGCGTTCTAGGCTTCTCTTTGAGAGATTCTGTTTAGTGCAGGTTCTCACAGCAGCAGTATTTTTGGACATAATTTTAACAGGTTTTCCCCCTCCTGCCAAGATCTGTGTATTAGTAATGCAGATGCTCTTCCCTGAGGAAGATCCACAAAATACTTTCCTCCCTCCTTGACATTTTCTCACAAAGGGTATGGTTGTACTTGCTGTAGGACAGCTTCCTGTAGAATAGCTATTGCAGTACATTGAAACCCATTCAGCAACATTTAGTAGCAGGACTGTCAGCTACAGTGAGAGAAGGAAAGGATTGCACTTGCATGTTCTATTTATATAACAAGAAAGAATCAGCTTAGCTGCAACCTGGGTCTGTTTACATCACGTAGAATGGAAGGGAGGATTTGGGTTTTGCATAAAGTTATTCTAGACAGATAGAATTGTCTCAAGTTAGTTCTTTAATACTAAAAAAGGGAATAATAGGAAGCTAACACTAAGGGATTTGGTGAAGACAAGCATAATAATAATTTGGTAGCATTTTGCAAATTAAAAGCTATAGAAAGTCATGGCTGAATATTTGCAGTGGATGTGGGATTTAAGAGGGAAGCTAATGTTTGCAATATGCAGTGTATTTAAAATGCTAATGCTTGAATGCTGATATGGTATTAAAAGAGTGCTGCAAACTTTTAATTAGTAAATTCAAACACTCAATGTTTGCTGGAAATATAGCTGCTGGGACCAGGCATAAGGAACAATAATTTTTTCTGAAGATCCAACAAACTAATTAAGCATATACTGATTCAAAAGGGAGCATAAACAGTAGATTTCAGTAAACCAGAGTAACTATCCTTTAGCCATGGCACTAAATAACAGTGCCCTAACACTGGAAGCAAATCTACATGAACAAGCAAACAGAAGAGACTAATCCAGGATAAAGTTACAGCACAAATTAACTGGAGCACCGATCTTCTCACAGCAGTGAAATGCCTAATAAAAGAGGTACTTATCTTGTGGTTTTCTTTAACTAACTTAATCTTCTGCAGGTACCAACACATTTATACAGGTTTCCATTTAGGAAAGGAAGCTTAAACAACTATGTTTGTAAATTGAGATCAGTGTACACAGAGTTATACGATATATTAAGATGGGTTGCTAAATGTTCATGTCTATTAGCCAAACCATCTATCTTAAACATTTACGTCTGTGTCCTTGTTAGCCTGTCTTCTCAGGTCTCACTTCCACTAATGGGGCCTTTGACTGGGTGTGACAGGTTGAGCGTCTTGTTGCAGTTTCCATTCATGGTGAGGTCTTTCCCCAGAAACTTTGCTGGGGGATCATGGCTGAGGGATGTGCTTAGGCTCTCCCAGTCTGGTTCTCTGTTAGCAAATAAGTGAGGGAAAGTGGAAAGAGAGGTGGGGTAGCTGTGATCTATAGACAATCTTAACCTAACCATCTTACCTATTAGGGAGCTGAGCCATATCAAGTGTGTATACTTGAGTCTGAAACCAGGGATAAATTGGGATTCTGTTAGTGTACCATCCACCTGTTGCCTATCGGACTCCCTGGCCAAGCTCATGGAACTGGTTTTGGAGTTCCCCATACTTTTGCTTCTGGGCTACTTCAGCATACCATTGGAGACCAGATTGTGAGGTGCAGCTTGAGAGTTTGTGGTATCCATGACAAACATGTTCAGCAGGTTACACCTTTTATGTGGTTTTCGGCTTGGAACATATGGATCTGTGGGTGGAGGTCACTAATCCCTCCAAGTTGTCATGGACAGATCATTTTCTGGTCAGGTTGTATCAGCTATAATTTGTTCTTGCAGGATGGAGAACCTATTAAAACAGTCTGCCCTAGAAGGCTAATGGATCCCTTGAGATTTCAGGAGGCCATAGAGGCTTGGTATGGCTGGTATCACCAATGATCCTATTGAAGCCCTGGTCAATAAGTTGAATCAATATCTAACCAGAGCTCTTGACACGGTTGCTCTTAAACAGGGGTAGGCAATCTTTTTAAGCCGTGGGCCGGGTTGCTGTCCCTCAGACAGTTGGGGGGC